AAAAAATCTACATGTAGTTATTGAGTCCTACTCCAAAACGATTTTACTTTATCTCTGCTGTGGTACACCATCATATCATGTTGATTATAAATCAGTAGTAATATTATGCAGAATCTTATTACTTGCTTCCTCAACCCACATGGAAAATCAATTTCCTTCCATTTCTATCTCCTGCTATAGGTGAAACTTGTACGCTGTTCAGATTTGCTGCCCTTCATTTCCTCCTGGACAGACTGTTACCTGAGAGAGCCCTCAAATGTAGCTTTGCAGGCTTTTTGGAATTTGTGGGAAACTGTGCCACAGTGCTGGAATAGCATCAACATGAATTGAATGTTGAAGTTTTTGAGTTTTTCTTTTTCTTCAAGGAGTTTTGCAAGTTTTGGGAAAAGGAGAGGCAAATTCAGTGACTGATGAATTTGGTGCAGAGAAATCATGCTGGTTAGTTGATAGGTTCAGCTAGTGTTTAACTGGGGTTGAGCAGAGTCTGGTTAAGCTTTTTTCTGTGAGCTCAGCTGGATGCTAAATGTGTTTGCGGTTCGTGGATGGTGAGGACAAAGTGGGGAAATCGTTAAAGTGTGTGGCAGAGCTCATTAAAGACTTCATTCTACAATGGAGTCATCAGTTTGATGCAACCCTGTGGGACGGATATATTTCTCCAAGCAGTTATAGTTGAATTGCTATTTGTACAATGCAGTAGGACGTGCTTGCTTTGCTTATTCAAATGTGATGCCTGTGTACAATTTGGTCATAGCTGCATTTTTTTGCTGGCATGAAAGGGAATTATGATATGGGCAGTACAATTTGAGCTGTCTGTTTTTAAAGCCCTTCTTGGTAATTGGCACCAGCAGCCCAATTGTAAGGTCAGACTTCCTTGGAATGCAGGCGGGCATTGTGCCATGTTGTCAGATGGGCAAGAGATTAAAGAGCACAGCCTTGCTGTGCTGTGCGGCCCACGTTGGATGCCGAACAAGACACATTTGTGTGGCAGCTTCATTTTAATTTCACAGCCCTTTGTTTTTGAGATGTCAGTAGCTAATCCAGCTTTGTGGATTAGGGTGCCTTCTTTGCACAATTTACAAACACTGTTCATATGGCAAGAGTGTGTCTATGGTGGAAGAGACCCTTTATCTCCCATGGCACCCAAACCTCTTCATTGTCTGTCTGAAAAATGAAATGTTGTCAAATCCTGCTTGGTGTATCAGAATTCATTTTAAAACATGGCACAGTGCAAATTTGTATCAGTCATGCTTTTCATGTGCAGTTTTCTTAAAAGACAATGATGTACCCTGGGATCTGCTTTCTCATTTGCTTTTCAATACCACACGCAGATACCCTGCGCTCTAGTTCTCCTGCCATAGCCTGTAATTCAAGACAAGCCCTGACAGTACTTTTTATTCTTCCTCCATCATATTTTAAGTGACTTTCAGATCCCTGGCACACTAATTCAGAGCATGTGCCCCAATTCATCTGACTTAACTACAGGATATAAGTATATCTTTTGGTAAATTCATGTGTATCTCATATTGCCAGGATAGTGTTTGGATTCAGCATGTAATGTTTTTCTGCCTGTTTACTGTCTGTTTGGTTTTTTCTTTCCCCCTACAGTCAACTTGATGCTTGTTGACTTCATAAGGATTTTATAAGTATAATGGCACTGACAGCATTACCTTTTTTCTAATAGAGTTCAATGTCATGCATCATTTGGCACAAAACTTGATAATATTACTTCTCTTGTTCAGCAAAAAAAAAAATACCTCGCAAGCAGGTATTTTGTTCACTAAATGACCTTTGTGTTATATAAAAGAGAAAGGTAAAATGTTTTATATGTTTTAGTTGTTCCCTCTCAAAAGTTCATATATCGCACAGTAAAAGTTTTACTTATTTTATAATTTGATTTGCTTCTATATATATATGTGTGTGTGTGTATGTGTTTTCAAGAAGGTTTAAGAAGGAAAATGGAAAATGTTGCCCCATGTGATTAATAAATAATTGAAAGACAAATATTTTAAGGAACATATATAAAAATTTTCAGTAATTATGTGACATTACAGTTAGTCCTTGAGTTACAATCACAGTTGGAACCTGTTTCTAAGCAGGATGGTTGCTAAGTGTGTCGTTTCCAATTTTACAATTTTTTTTTGCCATGATTGTTAAGTGGTTGTTAATACAATTGTTAAGCAAATCCAGCTTCCCTCGTTGACTTTGTTTGTCGGAAGCCAGCTGGGAAGGTCGCAAATGGCAATCACATGTCAACACATGACATGTCAATACATGTCAATTGCCAAGCACCTGGATTTGTTCATGACTATGAGGATGCTGCAACTGTCATAAGTGTGAGAACTGGTTGTAAGTTACTTTTTTTAGTTCCAGTGTAACTTCGAATGGTTGTAAATCAAAGACTACTGTACTGGCTGTAGAAGAAGGCTGATGGTACTTAACTGCATGAAAAATAAAATTATCTATCTATCTATCTATCTATTGGTACTGTTCTCATTGAGGGTCCCAGAATGTTCATTAAAAATTCAAGACACAAATTAAATACATAAAATAAATATGGTATTGGCTCTTGAACTCTGCTGGTGAGCTATAAATGCTGATATCATGAGCAGAGTGTGGCAAAAAAAATCATAGTGGAATGAATGTTTCCATTTTGTTATTGTAATGTTAATGGATGTTTCTATACCGCCCCTCTCCCGAAGAACTCGGGGCAGTGCACAGCCAAGTAAAAAACACAATACAAATCCCAATTAAATTTAAAAATTATTAAAATTATTACATTTACGGCCAAGATTCGTTAAAAACCCAAAAATTTAAAATTCCGAATTTAAAACTCCTTTACAAAGATAGCCCTGCCTGTCGGAAGAGCAGGGTCTTGAGGGCACAGCGAAAAACTCGGAGGTCAGAGATTGTGCGTATTTCTGGGGACTGTTCGTTCCAAAGGGCAGGAGCTCCCACAAAGCACCCCCTGGGTGTTGCCAGCCAACATAGTTTGGCCGACGGCACTCTGAGGAGTCCCTCTCTGTGGGAGCGAACTGGTCGGTGGGAGGCTATCGGTGACAGAAGGCAGTCTCATAAGTATCCAGGTCCTGAGCCATGGAGCGCTTTAAAGGTGGTAACCAACACCTTGAATTGCACCCGGAAGACCACTGGGAGCCAGTGCAGCTCGCGCAGGAGAGGTGTTACATGAGCACAATGGGTTGCACCCATAATCACCCGCGTGGCTTCATTCTGGAACAGTTGGAGCCTCCAGGTGCTCTTCAAGGGGAGCCCCATGTAGAGAGCATTACAGTAGTCCAGCCGAGAGATAACAAGGGCGTGAGTGATCGTGCGCAAGGCGTCCCGGTCCAGAAAAGGATGCAACTGTGGATCAGGCGAACCTGATAGCAGGCCCCCCGACCACGGCCGTCATATGCTCTTCTAAAGACAGCCGTGTGTCCAGGAGGACACCCAGATTGTGAGCCCTCTCTGTGGGGGGTAAAGATTCACCCCCTATAGACAGCAATGGCGACAGCTGACTATATCGGGATGCTGGGAGCCACAGCCACTCGGTCTTGGAAGGGTTGAGTTTGATCCTATTTCTCCCCATCCAGACCCGCACGGCCTCCAAGCAGCGGGACATCACGTCAAGGGCATCATTGGGGTGGTCTGGGGTGGAGATGTACAGCTGTGTATCATCAACATACTGATGTACCCTCACCCCAAAACCACGGATGATCTCAGCCAGCGGCTTCACATAAATGTTGAACAGAAGGGGCGAGAGGAGCAACCCTTGCAGCACCCATCAAGCGAGGCGCCTCGAGGTCGACCTCTGCCCCCCTGCCAACACAAACTGCGAGCGGTCGGAGAGGAAGGAGGAGAACCACCGCAACATGGTGCCCCCTATTCCTAACCCCCTCAACTGCTGCAGCATGATACCATGGTCGATGGTATCAAAAGCCGCTGAGAGATCTAATAGGACCAGGACAGAGGAGCAACCCCTGTCCCGAGCCCTCCAGAGATCATCGACCAATGCAACCAATGCCGTTTCCGTGCTGTACCCCTGCCTGAAGCCCGACTGGTACGGGTCTAGATAGACAGCTTCATCCAGGTACCAGAGCTTTTCAATTTCTTAAACCCATCCAAAGTTCTGTATCAACAAAACATAAGAATAATAGTGATAAGTACACATAGCTCTGAGTTGAATTGCTAGGTTATTGTTCTTTTCTGACTTTGGAGATAGAGCACTAATGTTACTTTGTCTGGTAATAACATGTCTGCAACAGGAAACCCAAGCTTGGAGAAGATTAAGGACCCAAGAACATTCATAGATAGATATTTAGAATATATTGGTTGCAATAATCTCAGGGTTTTGGGGGAGGGGTGTTGAAATTTTGAATCATATACAAGTCAATAATATTGATTTGAGAAATAGAACATTCCTTCTAATACAAAATTGCAGTTTCTTTAAAGATAAAGTCAGAATGTAAATCTATCCAATTTTGCTAAATCATTGGGTTAGATTCAGAAGTTTATGTTCTTTAAAATGAACATCTAATGTTTTATTGTGCATTCTCATTATTTATTGATGAAAAACCAAAATTTGGGGTACCATTTCCATTGACTAATTATCTCCCACTCTTGGTTTGTCTGCATGTTAGTGTTGGGAAGTTTAGTATTTGCTTTTGTCAATACATCATGAATTTGTATCTTGTTGCACTTTGGTAATAGCTTTCAGTAGTCTATTGAGAGCTGTTAAATCAAAGGAAAATAGGTCCTTGAAGACTACTTTTAAGATTCTCTTTGTACATAAGCCTCATTGATACAAACAAGACTTGCTATCCAATTTAAGAATTAGAGCATGGCCTCCATCAACTCTTCTAGAAGCTACCGTATACAAAACTTTGCGACCTATTTTGTATGGTGTTGTAGACAATGTTATATGAAAGACTAAAAGCTGTTGTATCATGAAAATAGAACATATTGTTGCTCTATTTTTTATTGGCCTGTTTTTCTTTCTTTAGCTCAGCAGAATTCACCAAAAATCCATGAAGGCTGGTGGGCTTATAAGGAGGTGGTCCAGGGAAGCTTTGTTCCAGGTAAGTGCTATATTCATTATTCAATCATTATGTGAATTGTTGCTATTTTATTCTGATGTACATCATAACATGTAGTGTTGGCTTTTATGTTCAGCTATTTCAGAAATTTAGATATATATAGCTGTGCACTGCAACAAAAATCAGAACATAATTCAATAATTGGATTGATTCTATATCTCTCACTTTAGATGAAGCATCATAGTTACATGTATAGAAAAACTTGTAGTTTTTAAATTGATTTTTAAATTGTGTTTCTTAAATTGGAGAGAAAAAAGAATCTGCTCCTGCTTTTGACTGTCATTTCCTATTTTCACATTACATTGAATTCTGTGGAACTATTATTTCTATAAGATTGTTTTTAAATCTTCTGGAAATTCTCAGAAAAGTATAACCAAGGAGATAGAAAGGAGTGATCCTAATCAAAGGAAAAATATTGGAAACATACTTGATCGCTGTGAGGAGGAACTGGTTCTTGTTTTTCTGTACTTAAACTATTCTGATTATTCCAAGTCAAAAGTTTGAAGTGTTTTATTTTCCTCCTGTTAACTCAGCTTTATAATCTCTCTTTTGCCACCACCCCCACTATCAAAGTAAGATAGGCCCCAACCCCATTGACCTTGAAATCTCTTTAAATCTGGTTTTGTCAGCAAACTTGACAACTCCATGTAAATAGGGACCCCACAAAATTATTATATTGTACATAAGTCTTTGAATGTATTTCACGGTTTGGGTATTATTATTTTTTTAGTTGTTTTATTTAAATTGTGTGTGCTACTCAGAGATACAGTATATCACACCAGTCTCTGATCTGTTTAAAAGTTCAAAAATAAAAAATAGAAGATTGCTCTATGAAGCACGATATCTATTGATCCTGGGCTTGGTGATTTAATTGTTTTATAAAGTCGGGAGCCACTTTGTGACTATCCTTAGATTCATATCATTTGAATACCTTGAAAACCTTATTTTTCCCTGCTATCTTATCCTTTTTTTGTTTTTTAAAATGTTGGTGTCTTTCAAAGAAAATATATTTAAAATGTTATATAGATGGCATATACCACAAGCAAGAATCGCAAAGATGTTTCCAGGAACTCCAGCAGAATGTTGGAAATGTGGGTCAGCCAGGAGTACATTTTACCACCAATAGTGGACATGTGTACAAGCTCAAAGCTACTGGAGTAAGATAAAGGACTGGCTTATGGAGATTACAGGAGTTAGCTTTCAACTGAGACCAGAGGTCTACCTATTAGGAATAAACCCGGGGGCGTAAGGAAAATAGACTGGTACCTTTTTATTCATATTACCACCGCAGCTAGAATTGCATATGCGCAATTTTGGAAAGAAAAAGAAGTACCATCGGACCAGATGATTATTAACAAAATTTTGTGGTGTGCAGAATGTGATAGACTAACATATATTCTTAAAGATAGACATGAATCAATATTTAATCAAAGCTGGGATAAATGGTATAAATGGATAGAAGTAAAAATGATATGAGGTAGATGTTAGGAAAGCATATAGCACAGATTTGAAAATAGTAAGCTAAATATATATATAAGGTGATATTAGATACAAGAAGACTAATAAGTGCAAGATGAAATATGATAAATTTAATTGAAGCTATAGTATGATGATATATAATGTTACTTAGGAACTGTATATATATGGGGGTTGAATCAACCTCAAATGTATGTATGTAATTTTGTTTTGTTATTGTCCTCTTTCTGTCTTTTGTTTTTAGTTTATAATAAAAATTTTTAAAAAATGTTGGTACAAGCAGATATAGGATAGATAGATGATAGAGATAGGTAGGTAGGTGGGTGGGTGGGTGGGTGGGTGGGTGGATGGATGGATAGATAGATAGATAGATAGATAGATAGATAGATAGATAGATAGATAGATAGATAGATAGATAGATAGATAGATAGATAGTTTCCCCAAAAATAAGACCCAGTCTTATTTTCTTTCCGGCTCCAAAATAAGCACCAGGTCTTATTTTGGGGGGATGTCTTACCCACTTACCTTAGGACCACCACTGTCACACCACTGCCTGATTTCTTCTGCGGCCACTTGTGGCCAGTTGCCACGTGGCTCCTTGTGCTGGTGCCATCTCTCATGGCAGGAGGCTGCATAGCACATTGTGCCATTGAGCATGAGAGTGGCTGCACCAGCACAACAAGTCTTGTGGCATTCTGCCACAAGTGGCAGCACTGGTGCAACGAGCCTCAGGGCACCGGCGCAACAAGCCACATGACATCTTGCCACAAGCGGCAGCACCAGCGTGATGCACCACATGGTGTCCGGCCACAAAAATTTTATTTCTATACCCAGAGCAGTGTTTCTCAACTTTGGCAACTTTATTTTTTATATATATATAAATTTTTATTATAATTTTAATACAGAATAAAAATTAACAAAAACTAATATGTAGAATGAAGAAAACAAAGGCACATAAATTAAAGAAAAGGGGGAAAACTATAAACAAATGGCTTCCGATTTTCTGTATTTGTTGGAACTGGTAAACTTCTCAGACAGCTCCCTATCTCTCATCTGTTGCAGAGAGAGGTTAATTTCAGAAATTATTAACAGGATAGGGCAAGGCTGGAGATTGATTTTCCCAAGGTGCCACATGAAAACTGGGTCAGGCTGCCACCCCCTCTGTTGCCTCTGCTCCCTGCTGTCATCGCTGCTCCCCTCCAAAATGACCGCTACTGTCCTTTTGCTTCTGCCACTGGCCAGACAGGGACAGTCAAAGGGCCAGATGTGTCATGCAGGCCGCAAAAAACCCATTCTAGGATAGGATATTTGAGAGAGAGAGAGAGGGAGGGAGGGAGGGAGGGAGGGAGAGCGAGAGATAACAGCAGCCAGGTTGTGATCCTAGAATATTATCCACTTCCTTGAGAGACTAGTTGGGAAACATGGCTTAAAAATAGGCTGGCAGAATAAATGCTGCTGCTTTGCCAGCTGGAATTATGTGGCAAAATAAGAGTATAACCATTATGGATGATGGATGGCCTTCAGTCCCTGTCTCTAATTAACAGATTTGTTCTAATTCTATGCTGGAATATATGCACCTTGGAAGACTCTCCTTCACAGTTGAAATGCTTGATCTCCTTCACAGTTGTATGAATTGGCCTAGCATTGCAAGTCTTTTTGGAATTATAATAGCACATAGACTTATATACTGCTTCATAGTGCTTTACAGCCTCTCTAAGTGGTTTACAGAGTCAGCATATTGACTCCAACAATAATGCTTAACAGCTTCTATTTAATTACAAATCTTAATGTTTCTTCCATACATGGTAGGAGAAGATTTATTTGCTGAACTTAATGTTATTTTGTTTTCTTTTTCCATAGTTCAATTCCCCCCACTGGCAAATATGCAATAGACCGCTTTGCCATACTCTGAATGCTTAACCCCTTGTCAGAAGTTGGGGCAAAGGGACAGAAATTTTACTTACAAGTACATATAGTTTTGCATTTACAATGATATTTAATATATTCAGTGGCCTTAGTTTAACAAACTATACATACACAGCTATACATGTACAGACAATTTCAGAGGGATATTAACTGTTTCATTCCCTCATTCATGCAGCTTCTTTCTGTGCTTTCAATTCTAGGGTCAGTTCTGTCCTAGGGAGGAGAATGAGAAGAAGGAAATACACATATATTTTTTTTAGCTCTTTGGATTTCAGCACCATTCTCAAACCCTATTTCACTGATACCTGTTCCAATCTCCAAAACCTGCAATTATTTCCACCTGCCAGTTTTCTCAGTTGATCTCTCTCTCTTGGGTCCTATTTGCTCCTGCTGGGTCTCCAACTGTAAATTCATCCTTCTTGACTCATGACGCCTCACCAGTCCACACCACACAAAAATAATAGCAGAAATGCACAACAACCCCTTCCTCCATTACTTAGTGCTCCTGCCATTTTATATGTTTGCAGCTAAAAGACAAAGGTTGCTTACTTGAATTAAGAATCAGACTTCTTAATGTCTATGTGACATTGAGCCTGATTTTGGCCCTCATTTTTCAGTCCCAAGATCATCTGGATAACTTAACCTGCCATCTCTTGACCATAAGAACTTATAAGAAGTTCATTATTTGTACTAGTCTCATAGTCAGGTTTGAGATTTCCACACATCATCAAAGTTTGGCCTATTTGCCTCTTTATGAGAAGCTTATATTTAACCCAAATATGCTTTTTTAAAATAAATGCCATTCATTTAGAGTTTGAGATATAATCCTGTCCCCCCCCCCCCCCACACACACACAATTTAGAGCAGAAAGCAAACATACTGAATATGACCGTTATATGAGAACTCCTCGAGAATCTTGAGCTAGTTTTAGTATTTTAAAAATCTTTGGAGTGGTCTTACGTATCTCCTACAAGTGAATTTATGACCTCCATTGTGGGAGGAAGATTATACTAGATAAAGAAGGCCGCATAGTAAGTGTCATAAGTCATCTTACATCATCATCAAAGGTTCAGATCAGTTAATAGAATTGATCTGATCATTTGAAAAACTATTCATGCATGACTTGCCTGGGAAAAATAATGGCTAAGAGTTAAGAAGATTACCATGACTTGAGCGGGAGAAGTTAATCTGATTTTCAGTTTCATGTAAACAAAGCAGACTAGATTACTATCCTCCCGTATCCAATGGTGGTGGGTTTTCTGGGAAATGTTGAATGGGAAAATATTCTATTGCTGTAAATTGAGTGAAGAAAGGAGCACAAGAGTTTTGCAGCTCCTTAAGTGTAATTTTTTGTTGATCACAATCCTTTTATTCAGATGAAATGTTATTCAGAGTTTCAAGCATGTGTTTGTGTATATTTTTGTGCGTGGGGATAATAGGAGAAGAATTTTAAACAGTCCAATCAAAAGGAAAGGAAATGCAGAAGATACAGATATGATAATTATCTTATTAATAGTGACCACTTGTAAAACAACTGCTGAATAGAAATATTGTATGGGAAAGTTGATTAAAACATGAAC